GGAATTCATCAACACACTAGACTCTGCAACTGTAAAGAAACTGTGCATCAGAAGCCTGAGAAGGGGTATCAGAAGTATGGACTACATAGACTCCCTGCTCATTATGGAGGATGACTTGGATAATGCTAATGATGATGACTTGGATGACAATGATGCAGAGGTTTATAGTCCCGCAGCAGAAGCTAGTGTTGCAATTCAGCCAACCCCACCCATCCCTCAACAAAGGGAAGGACCAGTTCCCGCGTGGTGTGTATGTGGAAACTGCCATAACATGCCCTTAGAGGTGGAGAAAGTGTGCTGCAGGAAAAAAAATTGTGATGCCAAAAAACCAGGAATCAAAAAACTGTGTTTGGACCCTGATTATTTGGAACTGTCAATAAAAAGCAGTGCTGATATAAGGAATGACAGGCAAAACAATAGTACCAGAACCTTTAAAAAGGCTGCTTATCGCCATTATATTTTAGATAAGCATGGTTATTTAGGCAAGGGAAGGAGGAAAGTAGCAGCCTCATGTGTTGTGTGGGAAATCCGTGAACATTATCCATCTTCATCAGGCATCTACATGGGGTTCAAAGAGCGATGAAAACTTTTTATGTACATATGTTATCATGAGAAACTCAATAAAAATCGAGTATGTGCTAAACCAGCTTCATGTATATCATACCAATATTATGTACTTGAAATATGAATCCCTGGTATGGCTTTTATATAGAAATCAGTCACTTGATCTACAATGCAATTACTTGAACCAAAAGGAGAAATCACTCATTTACCAATCATTGACCAAGCTCTCCAGTAGAGCTTGCTTGCAGGTTAATAATAATCATTGGGGCTCCTAATTGGCTAAACTACAGATTACAGGGCCACTTACATGTGTTTACATCTCACTGAATAACAAAAGAACCTATTGTGTTGTTCCTCGTTCTTCAAAGACTGCCGACTAGGTGGACCTCAGTGGCCCTGTATTCTGTAGTTCCTTATTGTACTATCACAATCTGAAATAATATCACATATTTCACCAAGGGCAATCCTTGACAGGTGACAGAAGTTACATCTCTTGGGACAAATTTACAAAATAGATCTTGAAGTGTTGAACTTGAACTGTTCATGGTTCAAGTGTTTCCAAAAAATTGAACAGTGTTTCAGATGAAATGTCAGTTTTCACGCACCTCAAAAACCCTATTATAAACTGTTATGGTGGCACAGCTCTGTAGTATATCTTGTTCAAATCTGTATCAAGTCATTCCTGTTTTTGAAACCTTGTTTTATGTCTTTCAAACAACTCCTTTGAGGAGATAGGAGCAGTGTGCGCAATTGTTGGCGCAATTCTTTGTGGATCATCTTCAGACAGAGACATGTGTCTGTCTATCCTCAAGACATCTTCTATCCGGCGACGAAAAAAT